AGCAGCACAGAGAGGCACAGAGGAAACCTTCCAGAGTGAGTTTTTTAATCATGAAGGACACTCCATGCCTGCCCAGACCCCACCACCACGGGGCACCAGGGACACCCAGAGGGTTGCCCCCCAACACAAAGAGCCTGCCTCCAACCTGCCCCAAACAGAGGTCAGTGTTTCCTGAGCCTGGTGTCTAAACCCTGAGGAGCACCAGGGGCTGTCACAGGGCACCAGCCCAAGCCCAAGCTGCTGCAGGGTGGAAGGGTGACTGGGTTTGGGTGTCTCTGGAGGACGTGTGAAGTTTTTGTCCATGGTGGCATGCAGGGAGGAGAACCTGGGGTTGACTAACAGCACGTGCCAGCCTGAAGGTGCCACACAGAAGCACTGAAGGTTTCCAGAAGCCCTAAAGATCAGCAGAGGGTTTTTTACCTCCCCAAGGCGTCGCTACCTCCCTACGGATTTAGGTGCTGGCTTTGAGTTTGAAAAGAACACCCTGGGCTGAAACCCTGATGTCAGAACAAGCCTCCAGCCACCCCCAGGCCACGAGCAGAGGTTCTCCAGCCTCTGAGCTGCCCGGGGCTGGACCTCCAGCAAGAAGAAGCCAGCAGAGAACCCCCCCACCCCCAGCTCTGTTCACTCTCCTGCTCAGGCACCATCTCACAAGTGGCTCCAAGATCACTCGTTCCCCTGGAGAGGGGAGGATGTGAGGCACAGGGTGTGTGAGAGCTCAGGTGAACACTCAAGCTCTTCACCCTTTGGGTGGATTTTTTAACTGGAGGGGTGGAACATCTCCTTCATGCTCATGCTTGCTCCAGAGGTGAGGCAAGCACTGCACTGCTCAGCTCTGGGTGCCACCCTCCAGAGCACACCGAGGTCTTTGTGTGCTGCTGCTGAGGTTAGGGCAGCTCCTGGGGTCACCCCTGGTGCAAAGTCCCCCCAAAAATATATCAACAAACAAAGAAAGAACCCTGGTTGTGTTTGATGTCTTTCCTTCTCTGCTGCTTCTTCACGCCAGGACTCAGAGAGCTGCAACCAGCAGCACCCTTCCTGGGTGGAGGGGGAGGGTGGCTCCTCCCCACCTCCTCTGGGGCAAGCAGGGGCTGCTGGCCCTACAAGGGGTTAATCCTTCAGTGCCACGAGGCTTTTTTCCAAGGCCTCAGCTTCAGTCCCACCTTGGTTTTGCTGGACAAAGTTCACACAGCTGGAGAAAAGCTGCTAGGACCGAGCTCCCTGCTGGGGAGGGGGCCTGAGGAGGCCCAGCCAGCAGCAACCAGCAGCACCAGGAGTGAGGCTGGCTGCCCAGGAGGTGATTTTCAGGGCTGAAAGCAAAGCCCTCTGCTCCCCTGGGCTCCCCTGGGGCACTGTGGTTATTTCAGACTGCTCCCCGTGCTGCTGGGCCCACAGCAAAGCTGGTGGAGAAACCCAGAGGAGAGGTGAGGTGGCCTGAGATGGGGACAGCTGAAAGGCTGAGAGCCCTGGGGCTGCTGAGCTGGAGAAGAGAAGCCTCAGAGGGGATCTGAGCAGTGCTGAGCAAGAGCTCAAGG